TATCTGTCAGTCTTTACTGGTGTGTACGTCTGAATGGATGCCTGTTCCCGTTGTGGGCGGATTGATGGGTTACAGAATCTGTTTATTCGCCTGTTCCTCGTCATTCACACACACACACACATGTATATTTATATATTTATATATAAGAGCAGATGGAACCCAGAGGTTTGAATGAGAGTTGCAGCATTGTGACACATTACGACAATCGTAGATTAGTACAGGATGCCCGCTTTCACCGAACAATATGCGTGGTTATTCGCAGCATGACGCGAAAAACAGTGTCAGTTTTGAAGGTTTACCTCAGCTGTGGTAACAACAAGAATAGCAATTAGTACAAACAGTATAATAATCAACAACAGCTAACATGATCATAGAGAAGTCAAACAACACAGATCCGTACTCGACCTTACTTTTATGTTCGTGGTTGGTTTTTTAAAATTCGAGGTTTCGAATAATGATGACATTCGAGTTTCCGAGGTCTAGTCATTGATATCACACTTATCGTATACAACATAATAATAATATAATCATTGTCGTCGTCAGTGGGTTGGGTTACTCTCTCGAGTTTAGGAACTTCTCACGATAGGTGTCTCACAATCGTTCTTCTTGTAACACAACTCGAGTTTCGCATTATAATTAATTGATCACCTCGTAACACACCTCATGTTTCACACAGTCGATATTCCATTAAAACATCTTCAGTTTTACTCAATCGATATTCCTATCACACGTCTCGAATGTTTTTTTTTTTATAGATGTTGTTCTTTTAATAATGTTTTTAAGAATTCTGGTTATCATCCTTTCAAACACATTTCAAAGTTCTCAGCTATTCTTTTAGAAACACGTCCCTAAATTCTCATAATCGTTCGTCTTTTAGTAAGATGTCTAAAAAAATCCTCAAAGTCGTCCTCTTTTTGCAACAGATCTCGAATATCCGTAGCAGCTCTTCTCGTAACGCATCTCGAGTTTCACATGGTCACACTTGTACATCACCATAGTAACACATCAGCTCGTCCCAGCACGGTTTGGTGTAAAGCTCACCCTCTCACGGACTAAAAACAACTGTCCCCATCAGAACTACAGTATGTCTCTCATTGCGTTTCCGATCTGACACGCCCACTCTTCTCGTTTTGTCACGTTCAGGACTGGGAACTGTTGTTCTAACGAATACGTATAGGGAGGTTGCTCACCACTCGGCTTAAAAGCATATTAGTCATAATCACGCCTCAGTGTTAGCTAATATCCTTTATAATCAATCAACACAAGAAATACACGAACAGGGTTAGGAAATAAGACACAATAACGTGTTCTTTATTAGACACATCGACTTTGAGTAGGGCAGTTCACATCAGGTCTTTGAGTCCTTTTTTAGAATGATCTGCTCTCTCTCTCTCTCTCTCTCTCTCTCTCTCTCTC